TGGTTTGTGTGTGTACAGTGAACTCGACATTTACCAACATTTACTAATAGCTATTTAATCCTTTTAAGCCTAAATACATAGCATGTGTCATCACCTTCATTTTTTTCTCCTCAAAATGTTATTGAGGCTATGGAGAAGAAAATCTAAGTGCTTAGAACATAGTGCAATTATGCAAGGCAGGATTTTGTTTCACATTTCTGTGTATATTTACATTTATGCACCAAGATGTCAGTGGGCTGGCAGCTAGAGTAAGGTGAAGCTAATATGACTCTTTTTTGTTGTTGCTGTTGAAGAGACTGATGCACTAGGACCAGATTTTAATCCTTTTATACCATGAGCAGCCTCATTGATTTCAATTGAGTAAGAAACTCCTCAAGATAAATAAAGTTATCAGAATCTAGTTCTTAATTATTCCAATGAAAAAGTTTCGGTCGGGAGGCAGTTATTTCTTACCACAGAATATCTGGTGGACTGTAGAGATTGTCACATCAGCATACATTCATTTCTCATTAAAGAGAAGAACTGCCGAAAGTTATTTAAGGAAGGCTAGAGAAAAAGTGTAAAAGTAGAAACAGCACTAGGAAAAAAAATAGAGCCAAGCTCATGCAAAATGAAAGCTCCACTATTCTGCCTCCAAAGCTCAGATTCTGCCTTCTTTGCTTATTTCTATGAATAGCCTCATTTTTACTTGAGGAGTAAGGGAATACTGAACATTGGCAAAGAGGGGCATAATCTAGCCTAGAATGATCATAATAAAAGCAGGAAGAGGACAACCAACAAATGTAGATGTGGTTTACAGATTATTTTAAAATAGCATTATGCCTTTGTCACTAGATGTTCTGGATCACTCTGGCATGAACAGAGTGATCCAAGAAAACAGATTGTAAGCTCCTTGGGGCAAAGTCCAAAGTCCTGTCTGTTTGTCTACAATGATGCACACTGTAGAACTAGTGACAGCCAAGGAAGTCTGGGAGGTACGATATTTCTGAAGTGTCTTACAAATTGCTATCTCCCTTGTCTGCAAGGGAGTTTTCAGACCTTCTTCCTGAGATTGCCATCTGCTAGCAGCTATGTTAGCGTTGATTGCTGTGGTAGCATCCAAAATACAATGACCAAACCTTGGTACACTGGTATGTAAACACAGTTATTGGGCTATGCACCGAGGAGCTATGCAGGGACTAGGGTGCAGAATTTCTTTCCTTTTCAAGGACACTGAAGAGTGGCTATAGACCCTCCCAAGACAAATCTCTGTTGGGAAAACAATGTGTGCATCTGCATAGCTGCAGAACCACTAGCTCTACCTAAAACTCCCCGAGGAGGAGCTCAGATGGTTTCATGGAGCAGACCGTGACTGTGCAAAACATGCAGATCATCTGTCTGACCCTCCCCTTTCCACAGTGGAATGGCACCAGCATCTACAATGGCTGCAGAAGAGGTGTGAGGGGGAGGGCATGTTATGACCGTAAAACAGTGGTTTTCAACCTGTGGTCTGTGAACCCCATGAAATGTTGCCTTTACCACAGAACAGTGGTTTTATCTGGGAGTCCAAAGACGATGTCTACGATTTCCAAAGTGGCCTGTTCACACCTCCATTCAAAAATGTTTAAGGGCCCATAAATGAAAAAAGGTTGAAAACCACTGCCCTATAATATCCTAAAAACAATTGCAAATTAAATCTTTCATAGGTGAGAAGTAGTTTGGTAAAACATCTAGCTGCCCACTGCTCTAGATGATGAAGCAAATTAGTGGGAGTATGAATGGAAAGTTCAGTATGCTTATCTGAGTCCTTAGACTGTGCAGCTTGAGGTAAAAACTGATGTCATCCTAGGAACACAGACTATTTATTTTTACAAATAATAAATGAAAAAGAGTACAAATGAAAGGAGAATGCTACTTCCTCATTCCATCAATTTGATTTGATGTAGCACCTGCACAGTTGGAGGTTAATTTAAACTACAGGAAACCTGGGGTTCTAGGAATGCTCTAACTCTGATTCCATCTCAATTATTCTGTTCTATTTGGATTTGTATACTGAACACATCACCATGGTATCTGAATGCCCCTATACTGTATTTATAAGAAACCAGCAATTGCTTTAACTGTCTAGCAAGAGAACTATGGAAGAAAACATAATTTGCTGTAAAAGAATACATGTAATGCAAGTGTACATAGGAAGGTAACCTTTTATCTAGTAAATACCAGAGACAAGGTATAGTGAAAAAAACTCCAGAGTGATTTTTTTGCAAATAATTCTTTTCTATATTGCTCTTACTGGGATCTGCATAGTTTGTCCTAAGCAAATAAAAAGTTCAAATAACTAAGTTATATTAAAATAAATTTATCTCACATCTGTTTCACAAAATACGTGATTTTCACTATTTCATTATGCAAGTCTAGCAGAAATGGATTTTTTTTTTACAAACAATAGATATCACATCTTTTAAGGTGTTAATAGATACCTTTCCCTAGGGGTATCATGACTTGTTCTTTACCATTGTTTCCCAGTTATGGTACAGGATGTATGATAGTAAGACCCAACTGCTAAAAGACTCTGCTACACGAGCTAAAAATATTCTGTGGTCAATCCAGAAAGATATGAGAATGTGCCAGAGGTGGGCGTGGGGCTGGCCATGTACAAACGCCTGTCAACATGACAACTGGAACGTATACAAAGTCATTGTTTGAGATTTTCTACACCTTCGGGATCTCATCTTCTGCTAAAGTGCACAAACATAGATGCTTTTTTTGACAGTGCATCAAAAGCCACCGCTAAATATAGAAGGCTGTCACATGCTCTTTTTAGTCACATTTCAATTCATTGCAAAGTACAGCAAATATCTTACAAGAATTCTTTCAACCTTGCTACAGGTTTGGTGCACTTTTTGCTTATTCACTCCCACCTCCACTTCTGCAGAACTAAAGAAGATAAATAGTGAATAAAAAGGAAGCTTTGATGGTTCTATATAGCTGTCTAAATGTACAGACATGTCTGAAGCAACATGGAAAGTGGTGACAGAGAGCATGCGTGAGTGAGTCTCATTTAAAACAAAGCAGTCAAACTTAAAAAAAAAATGTATCTTGGATCAGTGCCCAAAATCTTCAGCTGATGCCTCAGTGAAAAGTCTGTACTTAAACCTATTTTCCCTCTGGTTTGTTATTTTATTTTTATGCCTTACATAATATGACTGATTTCATAGAAATCTATTTATGTACTCTAGGATATAGACCAAACCCTGAAACTGTTACTTAGTTTTTATTCAGGCAAAACAGCTACTGCGATTAATGTAGTGAATGAGTTCAGACTAATGAAGTTTATTTCTGAATACCAGGGGAGTTTTTCTTGCATAAAAATTATAAGATAAGGCCAGGTATTTTGCTTATATTCTAGGTAAAGAAGCCTTTATAAATTAAATTAATGGAGATTCTCTATCTCCCAGAACTGGGAGGGACCTCGAGAGATCATCTAGTCCAATCCCCTGCCTTCACAGCAGGACCAAGTACCATCCCTGACAAATTTTTGCTCCAAATCCTTAAATGGCCTCTGCAAGGATTGAGCTCACAACCCTAGGTTTAGCAAGCCAATGCTCAAACCACTGAGCTATCCTCTTGCACCCCCTTCCACTCCCTCATTTAAAACCATAGAATGTTAGACCATGCCATATCTTATTTGAAGGATAAGTGTTTTTAGATTTCCAACAGCATCTTTGATTAGATGGGCGGGGCCCATGTAACAAGGAGCTAATGTTCCCACATAGGCTAGGGGCATCCAGTCTTTTCAACCAAATGGGCAAACATATTACTTCAAAAGAGTTAAGGGGTCACAATCAATGTGGTAGGTTTGGTTCTCTGCCCTGCTCCATTCCCTTTGGCTATGTCTAGACTGCAGGCTTCTTTCAGAAGAAGCTTTCGGAAGAGATTTTCCAAAAACAATTCTTATGAAAGAGAGCGTCTACACAGCAAAAGCACATCAAAAAAGCGATCTGCTTTTTTGAAAGATAGCGTTCACACTGAATGGACACTATTTAGCAGGTAAGCTGTGATTACTATGGACAGAGTGGCCAACAGGGCACCTGTGCTTTTTCCTCTTTCCTCTTCTTCTGAAAGAACTCTCCTTATTCCACACACGCCTTTTTCTGAAAGAGCTCTTTCAGAAAAAGGCTTCTTCCTCATTGAAAGAGGTTTACTAATGTGGGAAAACCCCTTCTGTTATTTCGATTTTTTTCAAAAGAACGTGATGGCAGTGTGGACGTAAGTGAAGTTTTTTCGGAAAAATAGCCGTTTTTCTGAAAAACTCTGCACTGTAGACATACCCTTTGGGTCACTCAGGTAGTGGAAAGCTCCTGCAAATCCCCTACTGAGAACTATCCCAGTCTGAGGGAATTCCCATCAATAGCAGGGTGGATGTTTCAGATGCCTATTCCCCTCTTTCTATAAGTCCTAGAAAAGGGGGCAGACTGAAGAAGGGGGATGACTGGAGGGCCCTAGCTGGTATCACAGCTGACAAGTGTATGTTAAGGGCAGCTTCCAGGCAGTTGGCAACCAGAGCTCGGACAGAGAATCAGGAAGCAATAATTATTTGTTGGGTCTTACTGTCACCGAGGCTTTAGGGGAGGCAGCACTTAACACACTTATCCTAGAAGATAGCAATTAGAGTGGCTGATGCCCTAAGTTGATGCTATTAAGATCTTGGCAATAACGGGCCAAGAAAATAGAGCAAAGCAAATGCTCTTCCTTGCTCCACTGCCCTCAACCACTAATATTTTATGAATTTAGAATGATAGGAGTCATTAGAACTCGCTCTCACTGCTAAAAGTTACACAACATGTCCCTCTGAGAGCTAGCTCCATTAGTACAAGTCTCTTTTAATTTTGAAATGATTCGAGGTGCCTTTATTTTCATTGTGCACCCTCCCTCTGAAAATCAGGCCCCTTTAAAGTGTTCCTGTTGGGTGTTTGCGTGCCCCTCGTGGCTGGGAGTGGCATAGCAGGCTCATTCCTCACCTATCACCTCCTGCTGACAGCTGCTCTGGATCTGGGGTGCCCTTCTTCTTCTTGTGATTGATCCCTCTGACCAACTCACGATATAGTTCCATGTCCTTTGTAACAAAAATAAAAAGAAATATCCAAAAATGTCCCAACACAAAAGATGCTCCTGCCCTCTCTTGGGCAATGTCATAGCCTGTCCTTGATGCTCTCTTCTCAGCCCCACCTTGGGTTCAATAGTTCTTATGGAGGGCTTGTATGCTCCTTTTTCAGGTTTGGTGAGGGAACCCAGTCCCACCCTCTTCTCTGCATTCTGGCCCAGGAGCCCTGTGTTAAGCAGCTCGATCTGCTTCTTTAGATACACTGCTGACTTTC